CCAAATTATTTATAAAGGGGTTGATAAGTCTGACACTGACATTTACATAAATTCATAGTACTTTTCTTTTCTAATCACGACCAAGAGCTGAAAGTGGCCAGTGAGGACACGATTTTGGAATTGCGCTCAAACCAAATACGCTTTTGTGTATAAAATAATGAACGTGTGCTTAAAAGGTGCATCCATACATGAGAGGTATAAGTTTCAAAATTGATCTGTAAATCTTAGTTTTATTGGCAAGTACACTTTTTTCTAAAAACACCTTGCACCGTAAAAGCTTTAAGCTGAAGTAAAGTTTAACAGTTACCTTAGCAAAGAGCATGTCTTCAAAAGAGGTAACGATTATTTCCAAAAAGTACAAAAGTTTATTTTTATGTATATACTCTAGTAGGCTGTTCTTATGTTTAAGTAAATACTGATGTACTTTTTTTGCAGTTGTATTTTAGGTGCCTTTGCAGAGAAAGAGTTCTAATAAGTATTATTTAAAGTATTTTTTTAGTGTACTTAAAATAATATGTTGTAGTATTGTAATTTTACAGTAATTGCAAACCTTAAACCTAAAAAAATACTTCTCAGATTTCTATTTTATACGAAAAGTGTACTTCACATTTAATATAAGAAAAATTATAAACATGTATGAAAGAGAAAAAAATCTTTGACTTTTTATGTATATTATTAACAATTAATATAAGAACATTGTTAGTCATATAAGAATTTTCAACTTCATTGATAAGAATTTTTTAACGTATCTTCTAAAAAGATTTATAAGATATCACAGAGTTGTCATAAGACCCCATGATTTCTGGTTATTTTATCAAAAGTACTGAAAAAAGTTTTAGTTTTTTGTTGTGTTACACGAAATCACGATCCTAGCAACACATACTGATTTTTTAATATTAATCAGTATTGCTGCACGTACGGGATAAGTAAGGGGTGTTGTTTTCAGGAAGACCAAGTGAAATCCCAAACAGCAGATTTTTGGGGTAAAAGAGTTGTTTAAAAAGCATGCGATTGTCTGCGTAAAAAAATTCTCCAAAAATTCTTATACTATTAGAAAAAGTCCAAGAAAATTCTTGTACACGTTAAACAAAGTATTTTTTCAGTTTTCTTTTAGTATTCTTATTTCACAATGTAGAACAAAAGTAATGTAGCTTCCAAAGCCAGTAAAAGTATCGTGTTATAAATTGTTTTATTAGTTTTATGCATTTATGAAATGATTCGCTAAGAAACTATTATTCTAGAACATATGATAATAGCTCGTCATATTTGTACCTTACATAGATATTAAGTGTGTCCCAAGTATCTTGTCCTCTTTGGTCAAGTCAAGAAAATACATGATTTCCTACTGAAAGAATCAAGTTTTTAGGTATTATATCTTAAGAAACTTGACAATTGCTGATTGTGTATAGCACTATACTCTTACCAGAACACCATTTATGTATAAAAGACTAATCGCTTATCTACAAAGCATTAAATCGACGCTTGGTTCTACGAAACGAGACATGTGCAGTGCACTAACGACACTTCTGACTCTACAAACGTTAATTGTTATGAGCTTTTTAGTACAAAGGGTACAAGCTTTATTACTTTCATAATTTCTAACAATCTATCTAGCTTTCTGATGCAACGTCTTGTCACTGAATTCGACCTAGATATGTATAGTACCTAGTAAGGGCATCAGTGGTAACATTGTATCGTCAAAAACGATGACATGTTTATGCTTATAAATTGTAATAACTTTTGAATCATGTAAAAAAATGAATAACACAATATTTTCTATGTAATGTATTCTCAATATTATGTTTAACTGTTACCGTGTATCCAATGAATTATAAGAGCTCACTCGTGCTTGTTATAATTATAATTTTTTTAGATACACGTAGTTATCTAGTTTATTTGTCAATGAGAATGAGGAATTACTGAAGTCGGTAAAAACCTATCCCTCTATGTAAATACATTTTATCTTGAACTATACTTAAAACTGGTAATAAACTTTATTTAAATTACTTGATGCGAATGTAACACAATTATTCCACCATATAAAATTTACTGCTCAGTTAATATGATTTTATGTAAATGAAACTTGATATGGGTTCTCGAGATGTCATACAATAGTTTAGAACAGTCACTATTTAATGCTTATAGATTTCAATAGCTTTTGAACCATAGATATCAGCGGTATACACGCCATATCTTGGTGAATTTTTTCTTAACATTTTGTAAGATTGCTATTGTACCCCGTTTCGATTATTACAGCTTACAGTCACATTTTTGTAGTCAATAGACCTTTTTGCTCAAGTATGTATGTATAAATGTTATTCGTGAAATTAGAATGGTTACTGTGTCTGATCTTATTTGAAAAAAATCTCACCCCTTGAGCAGATACATTGATATACTCGTTTACACTTGGCGAGTGTAAAATAATGTAATAGAATTTCAGCCTTAGAATGTTACACATCGATTATTTAATTGTAATAAATTTACTGATGAGTTTATTTTTGAACTGCTTTCTTAAATTGCATGGATAACTATTATACTTGTAACACATAAGCCTCAGCATCTTATGATGTACGATAAGAATACACATATCTACACTTTTCTTAGGTAAGTATTCAAGAGGCACAGTAAAAATCATAAGACAATATTGACAGAAAAAATTGAGCATTTACAAATTTTTTTTGAAAAACTTTTATTAAATTTAGAAACAACATCTACAGTACTTACAATAACTTTATCTTGAAAAAAGCTACATTATCTTTATCAATCAAGACATCAGCAGTAGTTGCCAATCTAACAGTAGTAGGTTGAAATGCCACATTATTGTGATATACTTTTTGGACGTATTGAAGGACTCATGTCTATTTAGCTCAGTCTTATTGCTTTAATTCAGTGAGACAGTAATACCAGTCAATTCAACAAGAGTAGGCAAAAACGGTGCATGACTTTGATCAAGAGTTTTTGAAGTTTCAGTGGACTCTTGACAATTCAATTTATTTTATACATTGCATATGTTCTGTGTCTTCTGTAATATCTGTGGGATTCAAAATTGTAGGATTTGATAAAGTACACCCAATTATAAGATCACACTCTTCAATCTCAAAAGAAAATACACGACAGGTTTTTGAAATTTCAGCCAGTGACACCAGATACTCTTGTACTCTTGGATCATACTTGATAACTCGGATAAAACGTCCCTGATAACATATACAACAGCACTCTGATTTAAAATGCTACTTAATGTATCTTTGAAAAACTCTGGACTGTCTTGATCAAAATACTGGAAAACTACTCCGACTTCATTAGTTTATCTTATAATACCCCTAATAGTAAGTTAAGGTTTAGCTAGGTCATTTTTGAAATCAAAAAAGAATTAATATTATAAAGAAACATTTTAGAGTATGGAAAATAATTATATAGTTATTAGTACCCAAAAAATATTTTATAAAAAATTTTATACACTCAATGTACCCACTGTATTATTTCTTAATTAAAGACAATGTTTGTACGATTCAAAATTTTTAATGTCGTTGTCCCAGTGACCAACTTATTCAGCTACTTTAAACTGAAGAAGCAGCCCAACAGGTAAGATCTTTTTCAATAAATCTATAAAAATTTTATGGTCTTTTTTTCTTCTACTTTACTAACTACGTATAAATTTTTTTAAATAACTTTTAAAGGAATCATTTTTCTCTTTTTTTTACATACATAATACTTCATTGTGCTAGGATTGAAAGGGAACAGTCCACTTTCTCTAAAAATACTTAAACCGGTTTTTTTTTCTTCTGTGAACGAACTTAAAGTTTTTTATAAACTATTGCCAAAATGTTCTGGTTTCGGATTATGTACTGTATTTGCGGCTTTCTAGATTAAAAAGGTTTACGCCAAATATCTTTAAATAGGTAAAAACACAAAGTATTTAGAGATTCAAAAACGTGATTAGAGTTTTGGCACAAAGTCGCCAGATTTATCTGCTGTTTGTGAGAAAATGATATTCAAGGTATATTTATGTGGGATGAGGGACCATCATAATAGAGTACAACAGAAAACTTAACGTATCATTTGTATAGCCTAGAAAATAAAGTGTTTAGTGGAACACGTCGAGTGAGAGTAAAATACTTTATTCAATGGTTTACAAGAGGGCTGATTACAGCGTGAGAGGCGTCGTGAGCGTGAGCGGGACAGGCGTCTGATCGTCTCGGAGAGCGGTGCTCAAGTGCCTGAACGCAGAGGCAGCTCCTAGCAAGGCGGAAGCCCGTGAGCATGGCGGAAATGCACGCAGCGCCTCACTCGGCTGTCACGCTTGGGCGCGAAACCAAACAATCCGCCCGCCTCGATCCTGGATCGAAGAACTACGTGCCGCCCGCCAAACTGGGATCGGTCAGGGAGTCTTCTGGAGGCGGTGAAGCCGCGGGAGGCGCAAACACAGGCAGCAAGACCATCTGGGTGATGGATTGCTCGTACACGCCAGTCGCCGTCTTGAGGGTAGCAGCGTGGACATAGCCGTTGGCTCCCGGGTGGACGCTGATGACACGGCCGATCGGCCATCGGCCGCTGGACTGCAGAAGTGTAGCGTCGAGGAGGACGACCACATCGCCGACGATAATGTTCTGGTGAGGAGTAGTCCATTTTGACCGCTGTTGGAGTGTTTTGAGGTATTCTCGGCTTCAGTGGGACCAAAACTGGGCGCGGACCCCCCGAACGAGCTCTCAGTGGGCGAGCGCATCCAAGCTCTCCGCAGGGGGGCCGGGCAGAACGATGGAGTTGAGAGGGCCACCGACGAGGAAATGCCCTGGGGTGAGAACATCGAGGTCTCCAGTGTCTCCAGATAGCGGTGTCAGTGGTCGACTATTTAAGACCATCGCGATGCCAACGGGCACCGTGGAGAATTCCTCGTAGGTGAGATGGCATGACCCTATGACGCGCCGGAGGTGACTTTTGGTTGACTTGACGGCGGCCTCCCACAAGCCACCGAAGTGAGGAGTGCCCGGTAAAATGAACTTTCAAGCAATTCCATGATCGGCGAGAGAGCCCGCGACCAATCCCCAGTCCAGCTGGGCTGTCAGCAAGGCATCGCGCAGCTCGACATCAGTGCGGCAGAAGCAAGTCACGTTGTCGCTCGATATCTCGCTGGGCTGACCGCGGCGTCCAGCGAATTGTTGAAGGGCGCCCAAGAAGGACGCAACTGAGAGATCGCCGACCAGCTCCAGGTGCAGGGCCTTGGTGGTTAGGCACACAAAAACGGCAATGTAGCCTTTCGTGGTCCAGACTTCTCGTCCTCTGGCAGAGATTACATGGAAAGGGCTGGCGTTGTCCACCCCAGTGCAGACAAAGGCTCGAGAAGGGGAGACTCGGGACGACGGCAGTGGGGCCATGAGTTGAGTCGCCGGTCACGCTCGCAGCCAGATGCAGACGATGCACCTGCGGAGATGAGCCTTCATCCGCCGGGGCCCACCGAGGAGCCAAGCGCGCTTACAAACGTAGGCACTAGTGACGCGGTATCCACCGTGCAACGCCCAAGAGTGCGCCCAGACGATGATCATGGAAGTAAGGGACGAGGCGCCCACGGTGTTACAAAACAACGAAATTTTTTTGAAATAAAATAACTCACGACTGAAAGGTCCGATTTACAAGGTTTTTTTTTTTTATAAAAGCTTATTCAATGTAGATTTAGGAAAAAAATGGAGTTTTTATAAACATGCTTTTCTAACCTCAAAAAAAAGGGTAAAACCTCCATTTCTCAAATTTCTTGCGTAAAAAATAATAAAATCATTATCTATTGCACAGTATTTGATACATAGATGGTGGTAAAATAGTTTCACTGATAAAATAAAGTACGATACATTATAATAATTTTTTAAAATGGCAGATTTAAGATGGCCGCCAGCGATAGCCAAAATTTCACTGTTTTTTACTTAAAATTGCGTTTTCAGAAGATTTTATGTTCTCACAACTAACAACATAACAAATTGTTAATAATTCCAATATTAGGTCATTGAAATTCCGTCCTAACCTTCAAATTGGAAATTAAACCACAATTTCTTCATTTCTTGCGTTCCCAATAGTAAAATCATAATCCTCATCGTAGTAACCAAATGAATTGTAAGTAGTTGAAGTTATGCCCAACAAAAAGGTTGATGTCAAATGAAAGTTCAAAATGGTGGATTCAAAATGGCCGCCAGCGATAGCCGAAATTTTATTATTTTTTACCTAAAATTGTATTTTCACAAGATTTTTTTATGTTCTTACAACTAACAAAATAACAAATTTTGAATAATTCCAATATTATGTCATTAAAAGTCCGTCCTTACCTTCAAATTAGAGATTAAACCACATTTTTACTTCTTGCGTTACCAATAGTATAATTAAAATCTGTATCGTGGTAATCAAATGAATTGTAAGTACTGGAAATTGTTGTCAACAAAAAATTCAATATTGAACAATAAAAACTTTTTTAATTTCCATTCCCACATAATACATTAATTTTTAAATGTTTTAAAAATGACATCGAAAATGGCCGACAAATTTTTTTTAATGATATCTTTTCCGTTTTTTCAACAGTATATTTGAGTATTTTTGTGTTGTTATATTTGTGTTACATTTATTGCAAAGTATTGTTTTAATTTATTATATATTTTTATCTTATACTTACAAGTCAATCACAAGTAATTGGTAAAAATTGACTTTGGTCACAAACTTTTATTATTATTATTATTTTAAAAAGGTAAAGAAGGCTTCTTTTTAATTTATGATTATTCATATGACGTTACTTGTTTTGCAATTTTAAATTTTNCATTATGTAAGTGACAGCTTATGTGATTGCAAGCGTCTTTCATTTTTTCCCAGTTAAGCATGCGGGTTGTAGATTCGTATGCCTTCTCTCCAATATCGACGACCCTGTTTGAATAAGGGTGGCCTAGTAACGTTGTCCTTCGATGGCCAAGTTCTCAGAAACACTGCCGCACACTGGGTGTGGTCGATTATTCCTCTTGATCGTCGAGCGGTGATCTGGGTGCGTTATTTTTAGTCTCCCTTACATGAACGATTAAGTACTGGTCCATGTAGTTTTTGCAAAATTATGCTAACTTTAAGGTGGACAGTTTGACGAACGGGCTATTCGTTAATTTAGACATGGTAGTCAATTCTATATCCCATATATATGCACACATATATTTATATGACTGTTTCCGTATGATAACACTCATGCAGTTGTTACGAACAACGTTTCTTTTTAACAACATTTTTCATTTACAGTTCTTACATGAATAATGGCTGATAGTAACAGTTATGGCTTACACGCAGTTTTTATTTTGACCTTTCTCCTTTGTACGCTTTTATTTGTGAACATTCTCTTCGCTTTTGTCGTGGTCTGACCTGTAAAAATAAAGAATAATTAAACAGAACGTATAGCTTTAATACATTTCTTTGGATTTGATGTTTCTTGCTTTTCTCGTATTTGCTGTATTAATGACAGTAATGTTACAATTTTTTGTCAGTTTAGCACTTTGGTATGTAAAAATATTATTTTGAAAATTTTTTTTGTTTTAGAAAACAATTGAAGGAAATATACGTACATTGATAAGAGGATAATTAAAAAAATTTATGGTGGTCGATACATGAAATTAAATAAAAAAATATTTATTGTTAAATCTGTAACCCCTACAACTTTCTATATAAATTATCGTCTAATAAATTTTTTACGACAACTTAATTAATTACTGCGAACTAAGATTGTTTATAAAATATGAGATTGCTGAGATAGAAAATTGTGGACTATTATATGTATTAGGAGATAGATAATATCATTTTTATATTCCTACGAACCTGACACGGAACATATCTAAATTTAAAAAACGTTATTGTAGTTTAATTCGATGTTTTTGTTAAATAACACAAAAATACCCAAATATACTGTTGAAAAAACGGAAAAGATTTCATTTGAATAAATTTGTCGGCCATTTTCGATGTCATTGTTAAAACATTTAGAACTTAATTCGAAAAAAATTTTTGAAAACAGTATTTAATAAAAAAGATTCTGGACTTTTATTATTTATTGGCGGCCATCCTAAAGAGGCCATTTTCAAATTTTATTATTTGATATTAAATTTTTTGTTGACAACACTTTCCAGTACTTATAATTTATTTAGTTATGTTACGTGGAAAAACCAAAAGGTAAGGAGGTGCTTCGCGAGAATGATCAAAACCTTGGAACCTTCAAAACTTTGATGCAAGATACTTATTTATAAGGCAAAGACGCGTGTGTGTTTCCGATTAATAGCCCGATCTCTCCAAGTGTTCTCTTCGTTGTCCCTGTTTGTCCGAGTCTTCTCTTCGTTCTGCCTGTCTGTCCGAGTCTTCTCTTCGTTCTCCTGATTTTGAAGCTTGCCGGGCCTTATATTACCTCGTTTCTCTCCCGTCGGTAACCTCTTGATAAGGTAGCTTCGTGGTCACCAGGGGAAGTTAGTATGATATGCCTAGCATATCGTACGTAATACGTCCGAGGCCGCGACGTCCTCGCCCTCGATGACGCTGGCTTTCTAAAGTTTATGGTACTGAGTCTGTAGATTTAATGCAAATGTGCGTATGTGTGCTGTATTGTATTCTGTTGTTTGTGTTGTTTATGTAGTTAAGTATCCTACGTTCATTTTTTCATTGTTTAAGAGAACCGCTGTTCCCTTTACATTAATATTTTTGCTCTCACAATCATGCAGTCTTCTCTCATCGTGTGCTGAGTGTATAACAATATTGTTTTTGTATGCGATTTGCCTTACATTACAATTGTATATGAAATTGCCGCGAAGCGGGCTTCTGTTTACGACTACTCTACATCAAGTGTGGTTTTACAATGTGGTTTTTTTTTGTATTTTCACTTGCGCTTGTTTATCAAAAAAGAGAGAAGAAAAAGAAAAAAAAATTCCGTACAACCTTATCATCAAAAGAAAAAAAANATCAAAAAAGAGAGAAAAAAAAATTCGTTCAACCTTATCATCATAAGAAAATAAAAAAAAATTTTATTGTCGTACGAACTGCGCCCCTCGGTGTAGCCGAGCGACTTCCGGTGCTCATTCTCATTTTTTTATTGTTAAAATGGTATTTGTTTTTATTATACTCATAACATTACAACTATTATTTTGATTATTATCATCGCTACAACTACCAGTTTTTTTTTTGTTTTTTTTTACTTACAGTGATTTTTTCGACACTACTTACTTAAAAAAAAAATTCTTTCCTAGTTTAATAGTTTCATCCTTCGGACTGCTCCCTCCGATATAGTCAAGCGACTCCCAGAGATCATCCCCAAGGCTCACGAATTCTAGTTTTGTATCACGGTCACCGACAATTCTAGTATCCGTCTAGAGGATCGCAGTCACCTTTTTGCTCTGAGTTCTACTGTCGGTGTGGTTTAAATTACTGCCAATTCTCGTGCTTCTTCTTAAACCTTTCGTTTTTCTGTGAACATTCTTTAACATATCAGTAGTAGCCCCCCCCCCCCGATGAAGAAGGCACTTATACATAAGGAAAAGAAGCCCCATGCCGAATTCATTAATCCTGTGATATATAAAGCTGTTAGCTATTAGTTACTAACCCTAATTTCTGTGGTAAATACTTGTCCTAACACTACTTATACTTCATCGATAGGTATTTATTTAAATTTATTACCGTATGTACCTTACCCTTTCTCTTATGTTTCCCCTTTATTTGGTTAGCGTTGAGCTGCGAGTGTGGCTCTCTCCTCACATATAAAGTATATTATAATAAACGTACATCTTCAAATTTTCTTTCCTTACTTTTCTTTGTACAATTATTGTTATTTATTTGAGTGTCTTTGTCAATGTGGGTATTTTTCTCTTAGTTAAAAAAATTCTCCATCGTAAATATGTTTCATTACGTTATCTTTTATTTTGCATCGGCTCTACGTGCCTATATAAGTCGCTTACTGAGTTTGTAAATAGTCGGATATAATATAATGCGCTCCATTTTGCCTGAGAAGACATATAACATATTCAAAAATACTGTAGAGTCAAATAGTTTGACAATTGGTTGCCTTACATTCCACTAGTATATTTTTTTGGTCGAGACAAGCTTGGAGGTATAAATTAAAAAAAAAATTATTTCCTGGCAGTGAACTTTTGACCCGTATCGTACATATTTCTAATACTTTTCACCCATACATTTTTCTATATGATGTTTTTCTCATACTCCTCTAATCTCTTTTCTTATGTGGTCAGATTTAGGAAAGGATTCATAAGGGTATTTTTTTGTTGTCAACAACCACTCTTGACGCCGTAGACGTATTGGCTGAGTTTGTTTGCTGCTTTTTCGATATTTTTTTTTTTTTTTTTTACAACAACAAAGCTTTTATTTTTCCTCTCGTATGTCTAGAGAAAGTGTACTTTTTAAGATGTTTGCGTGGTGACTTAATTCTCAAAGCTGAGCTTTAACTCTACTTGCGTCACAGCGTGATTTTTCATTTTTTATTTTTCCTTTTTTTTTTTGCGCCAGTAGAATCTCCGTGTTTAGTCCTTATGGATGAAATTTAATTTTCCTTTTTCTTGCAAAAGCAGGAGCAGCTCTTGTACACTGCTGCGCAATGTAGTTATGTAACTGACAGCTTATGTGATTGCAAGCGTCTTTTATTTTTTTTCAGTTAAGCATGCGGGTTGTAGATTCGTATGCCTTCTCTCTAATATCGACGACCCTGTTTGAATAAGGGTGGCCTAGTAACGTTGTCCTTCGATGGACAAGTTCTCAGAAACACTGCCACACACTGGGTGTGGTCGATTATTCCTCTTGATCGTCGAGCGGTGATCTGGGTGCGTTATTTTTAGTCTCCCTTACATGAACGATTAAGTTCTTGTCCATGTAGTTTTTACACAATTATGCTAACTTTAAGGTAGACAGTTTGACGAATGGGCTATTCGTTAATTTAGACATAGGAGTCAATTCTATATCCCGTTACGATTATGTGTGGCGTTTCAGGTGTTGTGGTTATCAGTATGTCATGATGGTAGGAGTTGAATTGTTTCTAATGGAGAACGATAGCAGGAAGTAAGAAGAGGAGGTTTAATCTCTCATACTTGACGTGGGCTCGTGGGCCTTTTAAAAAAGTAGTTTTATTTATTCTGAAGTTGTTTTATTCATTTTTTTATCATTCCCCCATGCACCTCTCTACCTAACAATGATTGCTACAATTTTTTTTTTTTTTATATATATTTTTTTTTCTTTACAATAATGAAGTCAATCGGGTTATCAAAAATAAAATTATTTCAATTCACAAGTATATGTCAGCTTATGCATCTGTTTTTTCCTTTTTATTTGTGTTTACCATGCGTAATTTGTACATTTGGCCTGTGAGTTAATTCTATTACTATTAAGTACCTCTACTTACTAGAGAGTACTACACGCGCTCCTCATTCACTTTGCTTTTTTTCATTTACATTACATCAAATTAAAATTGATTAATACTATTAATGCTTTGTTCATGCGTACCTATTCATTATAGTTGTGGTTTTTTTTTTGCAAATCTAAGTCTAAGGTATGTGAATATCTAGTTTTCGGCTCGTCCGGGGCTGCGAAAAAAGTTTTATCGTAAACCTTATTAATCCCACTCTTTTTGTCATATTTTTGCGCTGCGAACGGGGGCCACGAAAATTTTAGAAATCTGAATTTTTGTACGTATTTTTACAATAGTCTATCTCCACAAGGGGGTGGGTTTATTGTCAGAATATCTGTTGGTTGCGCAGTAATCACTTATTTCATATTTTCTTTTCGTATGATTTGTTGCTCACTTGCGGCTCGTCTGAGGGCCGCGAATTCATGAAAACTAACGCTTGTCGCTATATATATGTATTATACACGTATGTTTCTGTTTATCCTGTCTTCCTATACAATATACTATGTCGGTATACTAGCTTTATTTTTCTTATATCCTGTATTTCTTCTGTCATTATTATTATTTATATTACTATCATTATTATTAATATCATTAATATCGTTTTAACTATAGTCGTTGTATTTTCTTCAGTCAATGGCTTACCGTTGTTTTAAGGATCCGGCGGGGGTGGTGGTTTAGGTGGGGGCCTTCTGCGCTTTTCGTTGGGCTCCCACAAGTCAATCTTCATTTCCGGCCTTCCCTCTACATCTTGCATTTTCATGCCAATTATTACTAGAGCCCATAATTCATCGGACCTTTCCTCTAATAAATCATGTAAGTTTGGCTCTCTTTGTTTATTTGACTTGATTAGATTCCTTACATGTTCTTTTTCTTTCCTGTTGCAACCAGCTGTGTCTACTAGTTGCATTATTTTATCTACCCGTTTTTGTTTCTCTAGCTCCCCTTCGTTTTTTAAAAAAATTTTCGTTTCTTCTTCATCATTCCTTATTTCTTCATTAAATGATCTTATAACTGCTTCCCCCAAGCTTTTGACGTCATCCCCTTCGACGTTTTCTGCGCGCTTCCGGTAAATTTTCTTATATTCTAGCAGCTCTACTTCCGGCACAAGCACATATTTCATTTCGTTACTTGTATTAATGCACTCTGAGACTATTTTACCATTAACGTTCCTGGCTATAAAGTTCCCAAACAGTATTTCTTCCTTCATTTTTTGGACGGGTATCCAGCCATTTTCTGAATTATTTTTGCTCTTTTTTATTCGCGCATGAATTATTTGCCTCGATCTCGCAGGTATTTTAAAACACTCCAGCCTTACCAGTAGTATCTCTACGCTATCCAATTTGATCGTATTCTCGGCGGCGCTTATCTGGCCCCGGTATCGCTTAAAAATATCCCACCCAATGATTCCTTTCGCGTCAATTGGGAAGTCATGGGGGACTACATGTAATGTGCACTCTAATCTGTGCAACTGAGCCTGTACTGTGCCCAACGTTTTGCGTGCTCCGTGAGTCATGTCGATAATAGCTACTCGATACCTACTGTCTGTTAGCATGTCTGTGCTTAAAATATTAACCTTTACAATCGAAATCTCTGTGCCTATATCCGCCTAAAAAGTCGCGTTTCCATTCTTTAACTGTAGTCCCTGTAACTGGACCGATGACGGCATATGCCCTGTTCTCGCGAGTTTTATAGTTATAGTTACCTTCGGAAGCTGCTCTTTTTCTTCGTCACGCTCTGAAAGCTTGTGTTCATCATTATCTACATGTGTGTCCGGCACCTATGTCCAATTACTTTTCTGGCGGGCTCTCCTGCCTTTTCTTATGTGTTTTCTGCTCCGTTTTATCGGAGTAGTGTCCTGCTGTGCCGTATTACTTTCTATTTTCTCTTGCACTGTGTAAGTACTCGGACTGTCGTTGTGCGTCTTCTTCTGTACTATCTCTTTCTCTGTCTTTCGCAGCCTCTCTCTCACACATTCTTCCTCACTGGACACACTTTTCTCCATATCTTTCTTTAGTTAATGTCCGACGTTTGGGGAGCACGCCGAACATCTTGCGAGTTTAAAGCTGCCGGTACGTCCCTCCTATTGTCAGGGCCGTATGCGTTATTTTCTCGATGCTGTGGGCCCTTATCTTGTGGCAGCTCTTGCCTAATTGGGTCCCTATTATAGCCGTCCTTACTGTCTTGATTTTTATAGTTGTTCGCATAACGATTGAATGATTCCCTGTTGTTGTTATTATACTGGTCACTGTAGCGGCGGTTGGTGTAATAATTGCTCCCTGTAGGGTTGTAGTTATTATACCTGTTATTGTCATCATTCCTGTCATAGTAGTTGTTATTTCTATTATTGTAATTGTTATTTCTGTTATCGTAGTTATTATTCCTATAATTGTTTTTATTATTTCTTTTATATTGTTCTGCTGGGCCATTATTATAGCCCCTCTTGTAATTATTATAATTATTGTTATTAAAGTGATCATTTTTACCCCTATAATCATAGGCATTTCTGTTGGTAAGGGTGTTATTCACGGGTTGGTTATTTCCCTTGTTTCGAATTATTTATACTCCCATATCTGCTCGAAAGTTTCCGAAGAAACTCCTGGACCGTGCCAAATAAAGCCAATCTAGGCGCAAAATGCTTAGCTGCTTTTTCCTTTAGTCTGCTTGCAATGGTTCCAAGGAAAAATAATTCATATTCTGGACCGATCATTTGAGCAGTCATTCTTACCATTCTTCCGAATAGCGGCAGATTGATTGGATCGCCGTCAAAGAACGGGATGCTATTTGCCATGTGGCTATGCGTGGGCAGAATGTTTTGTTGCAAATTCTGCGGTCTGCGTGGATAGTTATGATTACCTGAAGCTTGCATATTTTCTGTATATAGGCCCATGGTTGGTGCAATATTCTCCCTATCCCTATGTTCATTAAAATCGGTCCAGTTTGCGTAATTATTAGTCAACGGTGGTTCTGCTACCATAGACACGAATTCCTTTATTTTTCCAGGTTCTTTGTTCATATCTCTTAATCCGTCTCACAGCTGTTGAGCATGTAAGTCTTTCGTCCCGGAGTTTCTTGTGCCTTGATATTCGTAACGGGGTGTAACGTGAATTGGCCGCTCTTGTTTCTCTGGCATGCTCCATTGTGTTGATAACATATTTGTTTTATTTTTTTGATTCCAACGGATTTCTTCAGTTTCTCTAAGCTTCGCCCAATGACTCGTTTGCCAGCAAGAGGGTCCATTTCTTTATTCATACGTCCTGTGTTTGCGTTTGTGTCACACAATGTATCACTTTGATCCCTTATCTTTGGCGACGGATTTCGGCTGGTCTCAGTGTTTGGCTCATGTGGCACGTTCACTTCCTCTCCTCTTTTTAGTTCTGCTTTTATCTTTGAAAATAAATTCATGACTATCGCTTATGTTTCTTCGTCCAGGGCGTCTAGTTTCTTGCACCCCTCGGGTTCCAGCTCCAATTCCGACATTCGTTCCGTCCTATTTTCCTTTTTTTGTTTACTATTGGGCTCTGGCCTGTACAAGTCTGCCGTAATATTATTACTTGGGCCTTCGCTATCACTCTCTGACTCATGGATAGTGTCGCGTAAATTAATCTTTTTTTTTTCCCTTTTACTTCATTTTTCTTTTTTTTTCCTCTTTTACATATCTATTTCTATGTGTTGTATCCTCCTTTTTGGTTCTGATAAGGTGTATTTATTCTCTTATCAACGGGGCTGCATTTAATTACCTGTGTCACAGCTTAACCATAATTGGATGAAAAAAGTAGTGACAGGCGAGATAAGAAAATAAAAAAGCAGCGTTCGTCTTTTACTAGCTCTTTTTAATTTTTGCCTTTTTTTTGTTTACTGATAACTAGGAAGAAATATTATTTTGGGAATATCTGTGGTCTGTTTTGTTAGTAAGAATTACAATAATGAAACTAGTGGTATATATGGGTGCAAGTTATTATTATTATATTATTATTTTCGAACATTTCCTATATCTGTGGAAGCCTACTTATAAATTCCCTCTGTTTTATGTTTGATATGCCCAAATTTTTCTAATTTAATGTTTATTTGAGTCTGTTGTCTCGCACGATTTCTCTTCGGGTTCTAAGAGTGAAAAAAAAACGCCAAACACGGGGAGTGGACGTAATAATAAATATAAATCCAGAAAAAAAAATTTTCTACGACCTTATTTTCGCCTAATAAGTGCCTTCCCTCTTTTGCCTGGGGAGTAAGGTATAAAATTAATTTAAGTATAAATAAACTTACGTTCTCGTTGATATGCACACCAGTAGAAATAAGATTTGGAAAATCATCTCTTTTTAGCGCTCACCGCTTGTCTCCTTGATCCTTGATCCTGTGATTATCCGCAGTTGGTGTCCTAGTCCTGTCTTCCTGCGGGTTGATAGCACCGTCGCTTGCAGAATATAACTGCTCTTGTCCTTTTTGATCGGCTTCTCGGCTCCTTGATTTTTAATCGTTGCATTCTCGTGGCACTGCACTATGTGTGCTTCTCGGCATGCAAAAAAAATTTTGACTCTTACCAAACCCCACACCTAGCACCAAAACTGTTACGTGGGAAAACCGAAAGGTAAGGAGGTGCTTTGCGAGAATGATCAAAACCTTGGAACCTTAAAGACTTTCATTTAAAATACTTATTTATAAGGCAAAGACGCGTGTGTTTTCCCGATTAATTGCCCGATCTCTCCGAGTGTTGTCTTCGTTCTCCCTGTCTGTCCGAGTCTTCTCTGCGTTCTGTCTGTCTGTCCGAGTCTTCTCTTTGTTCTCCTAATTTTAAAGCTTTCCGGGCCTTATATAACCTCGTTTCCCTCCCGTCGGTACCCTCTTGATAAGGTAGCTTCTAGGTCACCAGGGGGAGTTAGTATGATATGCCTTGCATATCGTACGTAACAGTTACGACGATACAGATTATAATTTTACTATTGGTGACGCAAGAAATGAAAATGTGGTTTAATCTATAATTTGAAGGTTAGGACGGAATTTCAATGACATAATATTTGAATTATTCACAACTTGTTATTTTGTTAGTTGTAAGATTATAAAAAAGTCTTCTGAAAATACAATTTCAAGTAAAAAATAATGAAATTTTGGTTATCACTGGCGGCCATTTTGAATACACCATTTTGAACTTTTATTAGACATCAACCGTTCTGTAGGGCATAATTTTAACTACTTACAATTCATTTGGTTACTACGATGAGGATTATGATTTTGCTATTGGTAACGCAAGAAATAAAGAAATTGTGGTTTAATTTCTAATTTAAACGTTAGGACGGAATTTCGATGACCTTATATTTAAATTATTAACAATTTGTTATGTGGTTAGTTGTGAGAACATAAAATATTCTGAAAATACATTTTTAAGTAAAAAACAGTGAAATTTTGGCTATCGCTGGCACATCTTGAATCCGTCATTTAAAAAATTTATTTTAATGCATTGTACTCTATTTTATCAGTAAAATTACTTAACCACTAGTTAAGTATTAAGTACTGTGCAATAGATGATGATTTTACTATTATTCACGCAAGAAATTTGAGAAATAAATGTTTTACCCTTTTTTTTGAGGTTAGAAAGGCATTTTTATGAAAACTCCATATTTATTTCTAAATCTACATCGAATGAGCTTTCATTAAGAAAAAAAATCTTGTTGATCGGACTTTCCACTCGTGAGTTATTTTATTTCAAAATAATTTCGTCGTTTTGTAACACTGGTGGGTGCTGCTCCTTGTAGGTCAGTGGCGAATGCTTGAGCTGCCCGCCGATGCGCAGAATCCCGTAGTCATCGAGGAAGGCTGCTTACGGTACCAAGGGGTTTGTTTTCCGCAGACGTTCGCCCCATCGAAGACACTGGAGGTTGGCCGAGAATGATCTCGCCTGGCTGAGGCATACACACGCGAGAAAAGCGTCGTGGAGTTTAGTCGGCGTAAGAAGTGCAGCGACCAAAAGCACGGAGCCCCTGCCCAAGCGGCTCAAGACGAATCGACAAATGCGTACGAGGAAGCTTAGTAGTATGCGTGAGTTGAAGAATTTCTCGAGGTAGCTGGCGTCGAGCTGCTGCACTACGCAGCAGATTAATGAATGCTGGTTTGGTGCGGGGAGCGGGTCTAGGGGCCACGAGTCGACGTCCTCGGCGAGCCAGGCGGGGCCCTATCACCAAGTGTGCTGCGAGCGAAGGCCGGTCGGCACCTTTGGTCGCAAGGTCGGCTGGATTTGACTGGGTCGGCAAGTATCGCCAGACGCACGAATGCAGGATTTCCTGGATTTGGGCAACATAGTTGTCGATCAGCACGTTGTTGGTTGGCCTGTCTGAGCGCAGCCAGTGCACAACGATCTGTGAGCTGCACCATGCGTGACAGCGGTCGACAAGTACGCGTAGCTCATCGGCAGCGGCCCGCAGGAGCTTGGTGGCAATCAGTGCAGCGCGGAGCTTGAGGCTTGGAATCGTCATGCGCGCGGTTGTCTGCGGCCCCAGCTTGAGCGAGCAAATTGGCGAGAGCTTTGTCCAAGCCAGAAGAATGTGGCAGAGCGCTGGCCCAGCCTCGGGCGCGATACGAGAGTAGATGACGGCTGCCATCGCGCGGCGACTGGCGTCCGAAGAGCCGTGCAGGTGAAGCTCGGAAAAAGGCCCGACTCTGATCCAGCGCGGCAAGGTGAAGGTGGAGATTGCCTGGAGCTCGGCGGTAAATGCTGCCCATCGGCGAGTCATTGAAATCGGCACAGGCTCGTCCCAGCCCAGTCTGGGGCGCCAGAGATCCTGGAGCAAGAGCTTGGCATTTAACATGATCGGCGCGAGCCAGCCGCATGGGTCAAACAGACCCGCGAGCGATGCGAGCAACGTTCGCTTTGTGCTGTGCCGCTGAAGTGGTGGAGGCATCAACTGAAAGCAGTCCGACGGTGGATCCCACTTGACCCTGAGCTCGCTGACGAGGCCTTCAGCGCTGAGCTGCTCCCAGGTTGGACGTAAGCGGACGTCCTCAGGCAGATCGTCGAACAGCTCGTGGACATTGGCCACCCACTTCCGCAGGGGAAAGCCGCTGGCCCTCTTGAGCCCGCTCAGCTGGTCGCGGAGGCGCCGAGCCGCGGTGATGTCGTCGGCCCCAGTGAGAAAGTCGTCGGTGTAGCGGTCACATAGGGCGGCTGACACAGCTTTGGGCCAGTTGTGGCCTTCGTCCTGGCATAGCTGTTGGAGGGTACGCAGCGACAGGTAAGGCGAGCACGACTTGCCGTAAGTCACAGTGAGCAGCTGGTAGTGGGTTGGAGGCTGGCTGGGATCGGCAGCCTAGACGATCCGGTGCAGGTTGACGTCACGGTAGTCGATCCGAATCTGCCGGAACATCATGCGGATGTCTCTGCAGAAGCTGATGTGGTGCCGCCGCCAGCGCATGAGCACCGATGGGAGCGCGGCTTGGAGTCTGGGTCCAGCGTGGAGGACGTCGTTCAAGCTGTGACCACTGGAAATCGGGTTGGACGCGTTGAAGACTACTCGGAGCTTGCCCCCGCGATCGTCATGCTGCCAGATGCCATGATAATGGATGTAGTTGACGGGCCCAGCTGTAGCTGCAAGCTCAGCGCTGGTGAGCGGGCGCATGTGGCCCATCGCGAGATAGTCAGCCATGAATCGACTGTACTTCACAGCCATGTCGGGGCTTTGCCGAAGCCAGCGATGCAGGGCTGCCAAGGAGGCCTTGGCGCTCTGAAGACTGCCACCAAGAAGAAGTGAACCGCTGCCCTTCAGCGGGAGGCGCACGATATACTGCCCGTCCGTGGCGCGTCGGTGGTCTGCGAACGCACGCTCGCACTCGATGTCCTCATCTGAGCAGCGGTGAGCCTGAGAAGGATCCTCCGTCTCCCAGAACCGCTGTAGCAGAGCAGTCAGCTCGTTGTGCCAAGGCGGAGCCACGTCGGTTTGGGCGGCTGCACAGACGGCCGACGTACCTGGAGCGATCCTGACGGCACGGTCTGCCAATACCCAGCCGAAGACTGTGCACTGTCCGAGTATTTTTTTCTCGTTGAGTGTAGCCGGATCGTAGCAGCAAGTGGTAGTAGTTGGCGCCGATGAGGAGGTCGACGCGTTGTGGCGTGCCAAACAAAGGATCGGTGAGGCCCTCGCCGTCAGCCCATTGTCGGATCACCACCGGGTGCAGTGGGGTGGAGCGGGACACCAGGCTGAGCCTGGGCAAGCACAGCGCTGTCAGCGCGACCGGTGGTGCGGGCCCTGGAAGCTTGAAACGGAGATGGGCCCGGAATCTGGACCGGTCGGCAGACTCACCGCCGACGCCAGAGATGCTGGCCTCGATGTTTTCTAGTTATGCGCCGATCAGGCGCGCGAGAGTCGCAGAGATGACGGTGACCTCGGAGCACGCGTCGATCAGCGCTCGGGCCGGAACTCGACGACCAGTAGGACCACTTAGATGGACGAGGGCGGTCGAAAGCACGGCTAGTCACGCTTGCTGTGACGCGTCAGTCGAGTGCTCTCCTGATAAAGAGGTGGGCGGGTCCGTGCGGGGCTGCTTCGATGATGTAGAGCCATCGGGCTGCCCCGAGCGGCAGCATTGGGCGCCATCGTGCAATGAGCTGTGATGCTGCTCTCGGCAATATTGGCAAGCTGACCGGGAGGGGCAGTACTTCACAGCATGCCCGGGTTGGAGGCAATTAAAGCACAGCCGTGCCTGGTAGACGATCTTCCTCCGTGCGTGTACATCAGACCCCTGGAACTGCGCCCAACGCCCGGGATAATGGCCCTCGTGGCACGCTGGGCACGACGGTATATCGTTGGTCGTGGCAAGGGCGTGGTAATTGCGTCCTGATGTCAAGGAGTTTGAGCGTGCGGCTGTCCCGCTGAAGGGACGTGCGGGCTGCGAGGCTTTGACAGACCTGGCGGCGCGGCAACGGTGCCGAAGAAAGCCGGTCAAGGTGGCGAATGTGGCGACGTCAACCTTGAAGCTGGAAACGGTACTCTCCAACCGTTGGAGCTCCTCCTTCCATGCAAGCCTCGTCGTTGGATCCATGCCCGTCATTCCACACGAGACAAACCAATCGTCCCAGCCGGCTACGGGACGACTTAAGGCGCGAAGCTGGTCGCGATGTTTCTCCAGGGTGTCCAAGAGGCTCTGCAACCCGCGGGCGGACTTATGTCTGAGTAGTTTGATGGTCCACAGGGCTGTGGCATGGTCGTGGACGAGAAGGCGGCTGTGCTTGTAGCGCACTTCAAGTAAAGCCTATGCTGTTGAGTAATTAGCCTTGGCTATCTGGACCGTATCGAGGGCCGTCTTAGCGTCTCCCTGAGCGAGTGACTTCAAATAGAACAGGCGCTTGATGTTGGTGAGTTGGCAGTTCTCATGGATCAGCGGTTGGAAGTGATCACGGAAGTTCTCCCAGTCTTCTTGTCTCCCGGAGAAGTTCGGAATACTGATTCTCGGCAAGCGAGGCCCACGGCCCGAAGCCGGGTTCCCTGGGCATGGAAATGGCCCGGAAGGGAGAGGTGCCGGCACCAGGGAGTCTCTTGCGTCGTGGAGGCAAGACCGGGCGTTGAGATCGTGCGCTTCCACGTCAGCGTACAGCTGGGCCAACCGAGACGCCTTTTCCGGTGGCGGAGCTTCGATGAGCTTCAGATGGTTGACTTGAAAATCGCCCCAATATCCACCGAGAAATTCCAACCTCGCTTCTACCATGCCCGAGCTCCAGCAAGCTGGCTCCATCTCATGAATGGTGCGGGCCAGGTGGCCAACAACCTTGGCGAGAGCCGACTGAGCACCAAGCAGCGCGGTCCAGCCTTCGTCCATTCTAAAACATTAGTATTCAACGCTTGAGCGGAATATGCCATCAAGCCATAGCTGGCGGTGTTATGGGGGTCGACAATTCGAGTCGAATCGGCTGGCGACGCACTTGAGCAGAATGCGAGAGCAAGAGAGATAGAGTGAGTCGGCAAGAATGACGCGTTACGAGATACACACGCGTACACGCATGACCCACACGCACGTCCGGGTGCGTGTACACACATCCACCCGGACACCTGGGTATCTGGACACACACTTACATACACGTGGGTGCGTGCATTCACCCAGCGTCCTCACTGCCGCCAGTGGACGTACCACACGCACACAACACCACCTCACTTCACGTGCGTAAGTACGTCAGTGTTGTGCCCTCCACCAACGGCAAAAGAACTGCATGCCAAGCCTTCCTAGGCACACTTGCACATCCATCGATAAGCGCGCGCACACACACATACGCGTCTCGGCGTCCAGACCTGGCGGGAGAGATCGAGAGAGAGAGAGAAAAGGAAGAAAGAGAGAAAGAGCGTGGTGGCTCAGTCGTCTAAGGCATGGACTGTCATGCTGGAGACCATGGTTTGAATCTCGATCCAGCTCGAAGGACCAATGTTTAGTGGCACACGTTGGGTGAGAGTAAAATACTTCTTTGTAATGGTTTACAAGAGGGCTGATTACAGCTTGAAAGGCGTCGTGAGCGTGAGCGGGACAGGCGTCCGGTCGTCTCGGAGAGTGGTGCTCAAGTGCCATAACTCAGAGGCGACTCCCGGCAAGGCGGAAGCCCGTGAGCATGGCGGAAGTGCACGGAGCGCCCCACTTGGCTGTCGCACTTCGGCGGGAAACCAAACATAAAGGATTAGCAACATATTTATAAACAGTTTTAGTAGGCATCTAACCATTATCAGAAATCCCTATACTAAGATAGTCAGAGAACTCTGATGAAATTTTTTGTGTCACTTCATCCTTATATTTGAACAGAACTATTGGTGGTGCATGCATTTCACTAGCACTACACATAAAAAGCACAGCAAGACGCTCTTTTTTATTAGCATATCTACCACTTGATAAACAGGGCAAGAGCCTTTTTGAGCACTAACTATTTGAAGATTTACTAATAGTTTCATACAGGTTTCATCACAGTCATATATTTATCATTGATCAATATTAACAAAACTCTTTTTTTCAAGTGCTGTTGTATAAAACAAAGCTTTTGCCTTAAATCCTTTTCTGTTACTGATGATTGATTTAAAGTTAAAAGATGAGCTGTTCTTATACCCAAATTCGAGTACGTTTTTTGAAAGACTTATACCATTGTTAGCCAGTACGTCAGTACGTGAACTTGATATTCTTATTCAATTGAGAAACGTAAGTTTGTACATTATCCAGCAACTAACTGTTAGTAGCAGGAACTTTGAGCTCTACTTTTCGTAAAATGCAGTTAATAATATTGGTTTCTTTATTACTAGAGGAAATCGTAGTCGATATTTTTTGTTTGGATTCCTTACTGTTCATTAAAGACATGTTAAAGAAATTTTGAACATATTTGCAGTTTTTCTGTATAAAAAACCTTTGCTGCTGGCATTAGCAACTTGATTCAACAAAATTAAATCGTATTGATAATTTTTTTGATGCTTTCTTTGTTTCATTAATATAACTGCACCTTTTGATGTTACTTCATCGAATTTTACTTTTTTGTTTTCTTTAAAGCTACCTTAGATTGTACTTTTCCTTACATTCTTTTTTTTCTTTTTTTTACTCTTTACTTACATGGCTGAAAATTTGTAGTTAAATTATAAACAATAAAAAATAGTTTTGCACAAACGAAATGCAGCTCGCCTTTTTTCCAAATTTAAAGGTTTCGATGTTGTTAAACCATTAAAACAAGTATATTTCGCCTAGTGGATTGAAATCCTGATTCACCGCTTTCAAAAATATGTTTTAAACGACTTTTAAGAAATTTTTTGAATCAAAAACCCTTTGTTTTTAATGATAAAAACTTTTTTATCTCATTATATCGTAGCCTGTTTCAAGAGACTTACATGCACCAAATCAGGTGCGTACACATAACACTCTCTTTGTTAGCCGTTTCATTGGGAGACATTAAAAATAAGTATGTACATTTAGTGAAACTCTGATCTGTCCATCCGGTTAGCAAGACACTGTATTAGTCAAATGGGCATTTGTATCGTCAGAAAGCCAAACGAAGTCGTGCCTCTACAAGGCCTTTGCTATCTCATGGTTTAGTAATTGAGGTAAACTTAACCTTTTACGAAGCATTTGTTTACATTTCACTTATTATTGCCAAAGTAATAGGTTGAAAACTAAATATGTTGGTAAATCAATCTGCATCAGTCAAAACTTAATATAAATTTGCCTCCAATGTCATTATAAATTGGTGAGAAAAGCTGTATGTAAAAATGCTGGTGACGACAAAAGTAAGAAACAGGTAGGGAAAGAAGTTAAAAAAGAAAGTAACAATATTATCAGTCACCACTACAGCTACAAATAAAATTATAACATTATCTGTTAAAATTAAATAAATAATTAGTCATATTTTGATTCTATTCACGCAACTCAACGTTAACATTGCCTTGAATCATCATTAATCAGTCTTAAGTAATACCGTTTTTAAGAGAAGCCAATGGCTTTGAAATTGCTCGTTAGCAGCCTATCATAGTATTAAAATAGTCCTCGGATGAGCCCTATGACAAATTGTAATGGATACTTAACTGCATTTTTTTTTTGGATCAGTAATGTGGTAAGTTTCAAAATACATCACGGTTAACTTAAACAAGAATAATGACTATAGAATCCATTTGTGGCCAGAATATGAAACATAGGCTGGGGTATATACTAATCCCGATTTCAGAATAAATCATAAAAAGATTTAAAAATATAAAATAAAACACATGTTTTCACGAATTATTTGGTTAAAGTACATTTTTTTGGTCTTATTATTTATAAGCTTATAATTGTTAAAAATTACAACAGTTATTTTTTTTAGCCATTCTACAAAAAACCAATCATTAAAACTTTAAAAGAGTCTGTGCCAATGGATGCTGCAGTTAATAACAGTTTTTTGCTTTCGCATCAATATTACTTATTTCAAATCGACTACACGGGTGTACGAATCATTTAAAAGCAACTCAATGGGGCTGACAGCATGGGGCAGTTTTTAATCGTTATGAGGAAAGAAATTTATCTATGTTAAATGAATATTATGACTGATAAGTAAAATGTTTCTTAGATGCTTCGCTCTACCTTGAAATTTATATATTTCAAGAATTAGCCAAAAATTAGGTAAATCCATACACGTATGAATGTAAGAGACAACTTAATTCAATTTATGCTGTGTAAACTCATATGTCTAATATTGAGATCATAAAACATAATCCATATTTCTTTCTTTAATTATTGTATGGATACAAAAAATACTTTGATTCTGGTGAATTTTCTCTAGATCGTAGATAGTAACTTTTTATGTGGTTTTTGTGAGTAACTCGCCACTTTTTGCCGAGCGACTTTAATCTCGCCGCGCAAGTAAATATTTTCTTGAATTGAAGTGACTTAATTGTAAAAATCTGCTATTAATATTTAAATGCTTTAAGTAAAGAAGTAAAAAAATATTGGAAAAAGTTCATTGTAGATGTTTATTTGACTTTAATGTGCATATTAGTAGTTCAACTGTTAGAAACTTAAAAATCTAATAATGTGTGTAATTTCGCTAATAAATAATAGTCTTTAAATTTTATACCAAGAAAAGCAAATTATTAGTTATTTCTTTTTGTTTATTGTTATATTACTTATTTTCCTCTCTTTGATAGAGAAAAATTCGTGTAAGATAAGCTATTATACTAAAACAAGAAAACAAATTACATGTTTTTGCTTATAATTTTTTATTGTGATGATAGTATAAGTAATTATAAACCTGCTTAACAACTGAAAAAAAATGCGGACATTAATTTAGGATTGTAAAATGCATCTAGAAGACGAGTATTGAAAAAATTTTGTGAAACCTCGTTTTATTTCTTATTTTTTCTAAATTAATATTAAATTACAAAATGTTTGTGCATGCCTGTCATTACAAATTTTAAACTCTGAATAAAAATTGCTCCGTAAATTTATAAATATTCCAATTCACCACACNCTACCTGTTTCTTACTTTTGTCGTCACCAGCATTTTTACATACAGCTGTTATGTTTTATGATCTTAATATTAGACATATAAGTTTACACAGCATAAGAAG